TCTATCTATCTATCTATCTATCTATCTATCTATCTATCTATCTATCTATCTATCTATCTATCTATCTATCTATCTATCTATCTATCTATCTATCTATCTATCTATCTATCTATCTATCTATTTATTTATTGCATTTATAGCCCGCCTATCTAATCAAATGACCACTCTAGGAGGCTTTAGAGAACCCAAAGACATTCACAACATAAATACAGTGGTGCCTCGCAAGACGAGCGCTTCGTTTAACGAAGAAATTGCATAACGAAGAAGTTTTTGCGATTGCAAAAGCGATCACAAAACGATGTTTCCTATGGTTTTTTTTCGCTTTGTGATGATTGGTTACCTGCTTCGCTAACTGATTATCGCAAAACGAAGATTTTCGCACAGCTGATTGGCGGTTTCAAAATGGCCGCCGGGTCAAAAAAAAGGCCGACTGCTGTTTTCTGGGACGGATTCCTCGCTGCACAGGCAGCGAAAATGGCCATGCTATGGAGGATCTTCGCTGGACAGTGAGTTTCAAGCCCATAGGAACACATTAATCGGGTTTTAATGCGTTTCTATGGGCTTTTTAAAATCGCTTTATGATGTTTTCGTTCTACAGCGATTTCGCTGGAACAAATTAACATCATAATGCGAGGCACCACTGTATAAAAGACCGATATAGTGGGTTGTTTTTTTTTAAAAAAAATGACAACAGTCCTATAGCTGAGTTACATATACAGAAGGCAAGTAGTAGAACTTTCAGCAGCTTCTAGCTAGCAACTAACACGTGAGTACAAGTGCTCCCAAGAATTCCACCAGTGGCTTATTAAATCCAGCTAGAAGCAGCTGAGTGTTGTGTTATACACTTTGCCTTCCATGTACTTAACTAAGAAATAGATTTCAGCCACTAAATTGCAGTAATAAAATACTATTAAATAAATTACACCATCAAAAATGCACAATTTATTGCATAAAATTAGCACACTTAAAAAAAAACTTTTTACGGCCTGGGGTTCAAATCCCAGGTAGCCGGCTCAAGGTTGACTCAGCCTTCTATCCTTCCGAGGTCGGTAAAATGAGTACCCAGCTTGCTGGGGGGGGCAATGTGTAGCCTGTATAATTAAATTGTAAACCGCCCGGAGAGTGCTTGTAGCGCTATGGGGCGGTATATAAGTCCAAAAAAAATATGCACAATTTATTGCATAAAAATTAGCACACTTAAAAAAAAACTTTTTAAAGACACCAAAAGAAGTGCAACACTTCGCTATCATTACAAAGCCCTTCCTCATTAGCCAGTCAGGAGCCAAAGGCCTGCCTAATTAAAAATGTATGCACCTGCTGGCAGAAGGAGACCATGGAATGAGCCAACCTATGAGTTCCATAGTCTGAAAACAGGTACCACAATGTTCCTGTCTCATGTCCGTTTATATCTCCATCCACTAGCTACATGCATAACAACTGAGAAAGAACAGAAAACCATCTGTTATTTCTCATTGATACTCCATGCAGCAAAACTCAGAATATTCCTGCCCATTATCTAATGAGCTGCCAATTTGCATGCCACTGGCATGTAGCAATAATTTTCCATTTGTGTGCCTAGGCTTCCAAGCGAAGAGAAGATACTTTAGAAAACCATTTCACACTGTTCTTCCCTACCTGCCACTAACTTATTTCAGTTTAACCCAAAGAGAAAAGATAAATGTGCTGTCATGAGGTAGTTACTAGAGATATAATCCTAGATCAATGAATAATAGGCTACTTTCCCCAAAATGTTTTGCCTTGCTAGGGTTCCATCACCCCCTGGCAACTTGAAGTATATTGTGACCTGCCCCAAATGTAGACACAAGTGAACCATATTCTATGATTCATATTCTATGATTTTAAGCTCCTGATAATCAGATTTGCCCGAATCTCTTTGTTTCCTTCTACTGGAAAACTGCAATGATAATAGAGGTATCTTGCAATATTCTCATTTCAGATGATCAGGAGAAACAAAATGAATATTCTTCGTCTAGAGTTGACTGGGTGGCATTTCTAAGCCTTGAAATATGTGCTGAGAGCACTCTGCTCATGCAGTGCTGAAATGCCATTCTCTCACTCCTCAGAACTGAAGGAATGTATACATCTGAGAAATAGATTCTACTGGTATCTTAGCCCAGCATCTAACACACATTCTGAACATCTGGACAAGGCTCCTCACCAAAAATAAGAGGTCTGAGGATGAAACAAACATTACCTGGGTATATTTAAAAACACTATACATTGGAATTTCAGCTCCTGAATCTTCGAGGTCAGGTCTGTTCCATCACACTGCCAAAAAGAGTGCAACAAATATAATGAAATCTCATGCTTTTATGACCTAAGGATCATAAAATGTATTTTGAAAATTTAGTTCAATGATATCTGGGACTTAATAACAAACAGGAGAGATATAAAGCTTGGATGACATGACAGACCCATATCTGTTCTTGATATACTCCCAACATACACAGATACTCTAATAGGTTGTCATGATGTAACACTGCCATTAAATCAAAAGACAGGTACTCTGTCTGGTCCATGGTAAGTTATCAAAGGACAAAGAGATATTGGGGCTTAACCAGTCATGCATTCAGAAAGAAACAAACCACATTTGCAGAAATTAAATTTAAAATAAAAGGTTTTTCCTCTCCCAAGAGGATTTCCTTAGAGATGCATTCACTCCAGAGTTAAAGCTGAAGAAACTGTTCCATCTTAAAACTGACAAATGTCAAGTTGCAGGTCTTAGATTTGAGTGATATGAGTTAAAGCCAATTCTTCACATCAAGTACGCCAACTGGAAAGTATATATAGGCAACTAAAACCAGCTAACTTTTTGGTATTTGTCATTAAAAAACACAGTCTCTTTTCTCATACTCACCACAACTTTTACATGCTTGGATAAATCTCTGGAACTTCTCTGAAGGAAGTCTGAAAAAGCTGCCTAAATTATACAGGAAAGAGAAAAGAAACTTGATATTGACACCCTCATCTGACTTCCTTCTGTCATTTCTAGGATATAAATGAAAGCAAAGCTTTGTTAAGCAAACTTGTTCCACAGTACATACTGTAAATACACTTCAAGGCACAGTTTGAGTAGAAGTCTCTCGCATGTTAGTATGAATTAATTATTTTCTGTGTTATGTCTCATTCTTTCCTACTGTAATTTAACAGGAATGCTTGAGAGCAATCTCTGTAACTTGCAGTTTCCAATTGTCAAAGGTTCCTTGAGTCAGGAATGAAGACAACTATAAAGGTCCCACTTACTCCAGAATAATAATACCGTATTTTCCGTGTATAAGACTATACTTTTGTCTAAAATCTTTAGACTAAAAATTGAGGGTCGCCTTATACGTGGACTTGGGGAGAGAACAAAAACAAGTGGAGGGGAAAGCAGGGATCAAAGCGATTCTGTAGCACTTTTATCCCTTTTCCCCGACACTTGCTAAGCCCCACTTAGATTTCTTAATTTTGGATTAGAAAAGTGGAGGGCGACTTATACATGGGGGCATCTTATACATGGAAAAATATGGTAGTTGTATGCTGTCATGTCAATTCTGACTTACGGTGACCCTTTTTCAGGGTTTTCTAGGTAGAGAGTAGTCAGAAGTGGTTTAACATTCCCTTCTTCCGGGATGCCTTGGAATTTTGTAGCTTGGCCATGGCCACACAGGCTAGCTCTTCTGGGATGCACAGTGGGGAAAAGAATCCAACCTCTGGTTCTGTAGTTATATGTCTAAACCACTGGTTCTTAACCTTGGGTTACTCAGGAGTTTTGGACTGCAACTCCCAGAAGCCTTCACCACCAGCTGTCCTGAATGGGGTTTCTGGGAGTTGCAGTTCAAAAGCATCCGAGTAACAAAGGTTAAGAACCACTGGTCTAAACCACTGAGCTATCTAGCCAGTTACTCCAGAATCATATGTTCTGTGCTGTCAAGTCACAACCAAATAATAGCAACCCTCATAGGGCTTTCAAGGTAAGTGAGATATTTAAGAAGTGGTTTTACCAGTTCCACTCCCACAGTGAATTTTCATGGCCAAGTTCGAATTCAAACCCTGTTCTCCACAGTCCTGGTTTATCACTCTGTTCACAAGATCATATTAAGAATACAACTTCAGAATAGAGATAGTCAAATTTACAGATTCTGGTTTTGCTGAATTTCCCATTTCTCTGACTATAAGTTCATTTTGGTCTCTTTTTGCAACACTTAGCCAGCATGACAAAATTCATGATAAAATTCTGCACAAAAACATGGACTTATTTTTCTGTGCTCCATTCTTAACATATGCATGTCTGTGTGCACCGTATGCACTTTTCCTAATGTGCACATTAGTGAAGCTCCTCAAAAGTTAAAGGAATAAAAGAAACACACAACACATTTACAAATATATGCCAATATTGGATGGGGAAAAACATATTTCAGCTCACCCCAGCATAAAACATTTTATTTCGGAAGCGGCTGTTGAATTTTTCCGGATTTGCTTCTGCAAAAAAGAAGAAAATGAAACACACAGTGTGTTTAGATCAATTAAGAAGTACATTACCCTTCTCAAGTTAATTCCTAGTTTTGACTTTCTACCAGGCTAATAACTGAACTTCTAGCCATTGTCAGTGGCTGACATTTTTTTTCCAGGTGCTAAAAAAGATCAACAGAAAGCCAAACATGAAGACTTTTTTTCCTGTCCTTTCTAGACAAAAAAAAGTTGAAAAGCACAAATGAGTAAGACCTGCATGTCCATTCAGCTATTAGGGGGTGGAGAAGCTTTCAGACAAGCTTTTTCAAGAAGTCACTGTGTACTAAATAGTGTTATGAATTGGCCTTGCCAAGAATCAAGACGTCTTAATTGGGAGAGTGAGTTTGGATTAATTAAGGGAGCACCAATCATTCCATGATTACTACCCTTTCAATTCTAAAAAGAGAAAAAGGGGAAGTTTGAATGGTTGTATCTTCAAGACTAAATGCATTACTGAAGCATGGCATTTTGCAGGCAAAAGGCTACTTTCATGGACAGTCTTAATAGGGATTCATCATTATACATTTAACTGTCTTGAAAAGGTCAAAAAATTAGTTTTGCATTATCTGGGATCTGATCACAAGCAAGGCTGGGGGACTCACGTTGGACTTGCTGTCAAGTCAGATTTGAGTCATACCAGTGATTCAGACTCGACCCAGGTTTGTTTTGTTTTTTAATGTCTTGGACTCAACCCGCAAGTTGGTTCTTGCGGGTACGTGCACATGCTGGCTTTATCTTTCTAATGGAATATTGTCTGTTGCTATTGAAAGTGAATCCACTAACTCTGAGAACTGCTCCAACACACAGGGTCTCCTGTGTTGTCTTTCCCCTTTCTCAAGGCTCCACTCCATCTTGAAAACCTCACATGCTCAGTTGCATGAGATGGTGCATGAAAATGACAGAGTCATGACCTTGAGACTGCAGTTTACCTCTTTCCTCTGGCATATCCCATTGAGGAAACTGAATGGGATACAAGCTGGATCAAAGTTAAGAACATTACAGTTTGAAAATAATTGAGCTTATTAATTATTTCTCAACAGCCAGGCTGTCATTATTGTTGCTTCATTTGTGCAGATAATTTGTTGTTTCTTCTTATGAATAAATTGCTTCGTCCTTCCCAAGCAGGAGGGGGGAGGAAACAAGGAGATAATCTCTGATGCCCTCTAATGGCCAATTTTGATAGTACACCTTGGGAATATATTAACAATAAAAACAAACACAATCACTTCCCTTGCCACCTAGGATTTATAAGAGAATGGCATAAAGTCTCAAAGACTCCTATCAAAATGTGCCTTAAATATGAGTAAAAGTGCATTTTGCAGCTAACTAGATGTGACTTTTGCAAGGAACTGAATGTTAGTCATTGAAACTTAAAAGTAACTTTGCAACTGTCAGATATAATCATCATAATCATCTTAGAACTGCAGAGGTGGCAAAGACCCTATTGACCATGATGTCTAGCCCCTGCCAATGAAGCACAGTGCAGAATCGAACTCCCAACCTCTGGCTCCACAACAAGATATCTAAACATATATATTACTTGTTATTTCAAATGTAGCAAGTTGCAGGTAACTCTGTTATTTGTGATTAGCTAATTTGCACCTCTGAGCAGGGTGCATTATGTGAATGGTTCCACAGCCAGCTGATCCTCATGATTGTTCTCATGTGTCGTTGCATATTCCAGATTCTTTCTAAGTAGGAAGGTCAAGATATCTGAACTAAAGATGGGATATTTGAATTAGTTTCTAGGGGAGATGAATATGAATATAAACACCATAGGTGGCTGGGCTGCTTGGACCCTCCCGCCTCCCGAATTTGGCTGTCCATATACTGCTTGCAGCACATGCGCGTGGATATTGTCGTTCAAACCCCATCAACCACAGAAGTAGCCTTGCTGGGACTTCCCCACCTCCCTGTGCTGCTGATCACTCAGCAGCAGACTGGGAAAACTCATCATCCTGCCCCCTCACTGGATTGGGCAGCAGTGCAGAGAGGAGGAGAAGCCGCAGCTGGGGGACTTCCACAATTGGTGCAGCATGAACAAGGGTGGCCTTGCACGCCATATTACAAGCAGTAAGTGGTCAGTCAGGCTCTGGATGGAGGGCCCAATCGGCCCGGCCATCTGTGGCGGTGATATTTCTACTGGTCTTCCATCTCTAATCTGAACTTTAAAAGAAGAAAGAAAAGCAGGTTTTCCATAACGACTGACTCCACAAGTACACACAGCTACTGATATGCAAGCTCAGAGCAGTACTACAAAAAAAATTTTTTTGTTTACAATTCCCAGCATCCCCCAGCCAGGGGCCATTCTGGCTGGGTATTCCAAGAGCTATAGTTCAGAAAGGGAATGTGGTGCCCCTGTGGGCTAAAGCACAGAAGCCTGTGCTGCAGGGTCAGAAGACCAGCAGTCGTAAGATCGAATCCACGCAACAGAGTGAGCTCCCGTCGCTTTCTCCCAGCTCCTCGCCAACCTAGCAGTTCGAAAGCATGCAAATGCGAGTAGCTAAATAGGTACCACCTCGGTGGGAAGGTAAAATGGCATTCCCTAGTCACGCTGGCCACGTGATAACAGAAACTGTCTTCGGACAGGTGCTGGCTCTATGGCTTGAAAAGCAGGATGAGCGCCGCCCCCTAGAGTCAGACACGACTGGACTAAAAAATGTTCAGGGGAACCTTTACCTTTACTATAGTTCAGAAAAAAGGGAGGTTTTCTAAGTGTTGGCCCAGACTGCATACTCCATCCACCCTCTTTAATTCTCAGTAAATAACATCAGACGGAAACCCACAAATAGCAAAAGTCACGAAGACCAGAAAACAGAATTACAGGAGTTTCATGAATTATGTGTCATGGTATCTTTTTCTTTTAAAATGGAGGGAGGAAAGGGACCATAAGCAATACAGGCGTTGGAATAAACCTAAAGAGTGCTGTCCTCTTTTATAGCAGAAATATGTGTCACAATTTATTTTTCTCTTATATTTGAAGAAGATACTGGTAGTTTGTCCTGTGAAATATGTGTCACAATTTATTTATCTCTTATATTTGAAGAAGATACTGGTAGTGTTGGAGAGGTGATTAATCTTTAAGGTGCCACATGCTTTTGTCCTTGTTTTGTTTTGTTTCATTTTGTTTTTATTTCTTTGGATTTTTTCCTGATAATCTTGGAGGTGCCACATGCTTTTGTCCTTGTTTTGCTTTGTTTCATTTTGTTTCATTTCTTTGGATTTTTTCCTGATAATCTTGCACAGGCTAAAAAAAAGAAGAGGCTACCTCTTCTTTTTTTCAGGGAAACAGATGTGGTTCTGGCTAAGTTAATCACCTCAGCAGACAACTTTCTTTTGACAAAGTATTTTCCTTGTCCTCATTTGTTCTGGTTCATTTTTGGTGGGTTTTTTTCTCTTTTTTTCTGGGTTTTTTTTCGGGGGGGGGGCTACAACTACTGCTGGCATCTCTGTAATAACCACCATTCATTTGTTATAGAGCACTATGGCTTCATGATTAAGTAATGTTTCCACTAAGTGAGAAAGCAGCCCAGGACCTCATCCATGCTGTAGAGTCACATGGGCACATTTAGCATGCATCTCAGCACATGTTCATTAAGAAATGAACACACTGCTGTCATCACTTCATTCCTTTGCCCTTCCATGGCCCCTCATTATTATTCTTACAGCTTGCAGCCATCTTAAACATGGTAAAATATGCATTAGCTTTTTCCATCAGGCATTCAGATCTTTATTTAGTCTGGCATTAGGATGCTCTTTTAAAAAAAGGAGTGGGGAGAAAAACAAAGAAAAAAAATAACCTTGTTAGATGGTGCTTTGATAAAATGACAAGGAGGACAAGTGAGGTTTCCATTCAAAATCCATCACGGTACATCAACCAAATACCAAGTAAGCAAACTGAACAACAACTTGAGTATGATCAGCATGTTTTTCTCAGCAGAGAAGCAGGTCCTGAAATGATTTTTTTTTTAAATTTAAGCTCGGCTGGGTAAATTCTGCTTGGAACTGTACGAGCAGAAGAATATCATTTTGAGATGGAGAGGAAGGATGTATTCATAGGAACAAAGGCAAATACTATTAGACAACATGGCTTCTGAAATATTCACACATGCTCTCAGTATCTTTGAATTCAGTCTAAGCTTTGGCAATTAAGAGCCTCGAAATACATAACTCTCACTGATGTGTTTTAGAGACAAACTAGGATTATTATTTTTAACCAAGAGAGCGCCAAGTCTTTTAAATTTAAATTTTTTTAGTAACACAATAAATTGAACCCAGTGTAATGTTTGTATTCAATCATATTTTAATCTTCCAATTTTTTAAAAAAAAAACTGTATTGTAAGCAGCCTTGGATCCCCATTCTGGGAGAAAGTCAGAATACAAAATAAACAGCCCACTCTTTTCTGGCATGGCAAATAAAATCAACCTTCTTGCTATTTTCTTCACTGGACACACACAAAAACTTTCCTTTATATAGTAAAAGCCATTTCTATAGTAAAGAAGGGTAGGATTGCCAGTGATTGAAACTGAGTTTTTCTCATTGGAGCTTTTTTCATAATTTTATCACCCTGCAAAGGAAAAGATCCATCTGCCACTCTCAGTCCTTCATGCAGCTATTTGAGGTGCAAGAGCAGTGCCATAAAAGAGTTGACAGTCACACATATTTTTTATGTGTGTGTGTTTATGTAGAAAAAAAAAACAATAAAATTTTATTTTAAAAAAAAGAGTTGACAGTCTGTTTAGGATAGCAACTTGGGAAGAGGATCAGAGCCGTTCAGAGTTATGAACCTCTTCTTAAGAGAAAGCTAAATCTCTCCTCCTTCCCTTTATTTAACTCTTCTATTGGGTCTATACTGTGATGGAGCATGCAGCATTTGATGAAACTTTACTGTCTAACCAAGGATTAGAGATACACAAAACATCATGGCAGGCATCCACCACCACAACTTAAACTTCCTGGTCCAGAGTCCTAAGAAAAGAGACAATATTTGTTCTCTCACCTCGAGATTCATGGAATTCCAATGTGACGTGAGCATCAAATCCGAGGCTGAAGTAATTATTGAAGACACTGAGGGGAAGCTGCATGGAAAAAAAACAGAAACAGAAGGAGTAAGAAAAACTCAGAAGCCAAGAAGGACTAGTAGCACAGCTCATTAGCAGCTTACTACGGTATATGGGAGTCACTCTAATAAGACATTCTCTGTGCCGGTAGGTAGGTAGGCAGGCAAGCAGGTAGGTAACACAAGGAGATAGATATCAGTGGAAAATCTACCTACCTACCTGTCTACCTGTCTCTCTGTCTATCATCTGTCTCTATAATCTTCCACTGTATGGTTCAGGGGCTGCATCATCTAATTTATTCCATGTCTGAAACAACCACTTCGTGTCTGGCTTTGGTTGATAGCATTCTTGATAAATATGCTATCAACCTCTTAAGAGTGGATTCTAATACTTCCTACTTCACTCTTATTCGCAGTGGTTCTCCAAGGTCTTGAGATGAGGTCGCTCCCAACACTATGGCCTGACCCTTTTAACTGGAGAGGGATAAAATCTGGGATTTTTCATCTCCAAAGCATGCACTCTTTGAGCAATGGTTCTTAAAATTTCTCTCTCGTGTTTTACTTGATGGAGTCTACAATGATGCAATATTTCAGAGCAATACAGTATAAACTGCTATAAGTACCATAAATTTAAAAATGCTACGAATGAGACATTTGCCCTTTTTATTCCAGTTCTTCAAGAAACATATACCATATTTGAATCAAATTTGAAAACTGATGATGATGACATGCAGACCGGCTGAGGAAGAGAAAATTTCTGAAACCTGAGCAGCAAATCATTAAACTCATGTTAGGTATGCTGAGGGGTTTAAAAATGGGGGTGTGTGTGAATGGGATAAAGAGGCACTACATCAAGAAAGGATCAAAGAAGGTCTCATGAGACTTACTTGGGCAACAATTTACAAACAAATTAATGGCATTGTACAATCTGAGTGGAAAGTACTTCTGAAATATATTAAATAAATTTCTGCCATATGTGGCAGACACAGCTTTATACTAAATAAGATGAGAGAAAGCCAAAAATCTTAATAGCAAAGTTACTGAGGTATACCTTCCAGCATGATTCCTTGTTCTCTCTTTGAATTTACACAGAAAGTAATCAAGAATTCATAGGGAGCAAGGGAGGAAGAGAGGAAGGAAGGAAAGTGTGACAAGTTTATGAATAATTGGGCTATATTTCTAAAACTAAATGTAATAATGCTGAGGCTACAGCTACATTTTAATATGAATCAAGAGAAATCTTTTTGGGAGTGTAAGAATGTAATATTTGAATTCCGATCTGTATATGACCTGCAAATTTTTATTTAGCTAAACCTTAAGTCCACATTATGAAAATTGAAAACATTCTCTATTGTGTTCTTATGCACAGCTGTTAACAGAAATAATAAGTATAGTTTTCCAAAAATGAAAATAAATGAATGAACAAATAAAATTGGATTAAATTTTAGAGTCTCCAGGGCAGAGCTTGGAAATAATGAATTACAAAGAGTTTTACTACCTGTGGGCTACCTCATGCATAAGAGTTGTGTGGTTTTTTTTCCAAAACAAGCAAGGATTAATGACATTGTTACTTTGAAGAACTTTGCAAAGAAAAGAAACTAAAACTTAGCTAGCAATGCAACAAAGCAGTGCAAGAAGTTACCAAATAATCGCAACGTTAACAGCAGCCAGTTACTCTTTTGCTAATAAGTTTTGGGAGCAAACTACTTTCAAAAGGCCACTTTCAAAGCTCTGGTGAGGTTCTCCCTAACTGGTGGTGAAACTTTTCATTGCTGTGGCAATGGTAGTGTTCCCTTCTGAAAAAACAGGAGTATTGTAGGTGTGTCACAAGTATGTTCGGATCCACCAAATCTAAAGTCCCTCCCCTCTCCAGATGTGCTCCCAGGACCAAGAGGATACAGCCTCAGCCCTAGAGAAGGCATTGTGATTTTCCCTTCCACTGAAAAGAAACAAAAGAAAAACTGGAAATAACACTTCCCAGGTTCAAGACAGTCTAAGTGGAGGTAATATCTGTCGCCTGTAAATCTATATTGGCAAGTACCTTCCCCACATAGTTGTGGTTCTTCCCATCTATTTTCCTCTCTCTCTCTCTCTCTCTCTCTCTCTCTCTCTCTCTCTCTCTCTGTGTGTGTGTGTGTGTGTTCCCTGCTATCAGACCTCTTCCTTCCTCCAGGCCTATGAGTTTTGCTTCCTTTGAGTTGATTATTTCTCATAACATTTCCCAGACAAATTTATTTTATTCCCAAGAATGCAGCTCTACTGTAATCTTTATTATTCCATGGTCCATTTTTAAAATTTCTTTTTATGAGCCATAAAATTTCCCTGTTGAATAGTTCTGTGCAAATGAGAGATTTGCTTAGCCCAATCTGTGTTAACTACATGACTGCCATGGTTCAAGGTTCCCAAGCAGGTGTGTCTGAGGACAGGTATGAGTTCACTATCTGAATGTGTGCAGCTGCTCTTAAATTCTTTCTTAAAACATTTCACGTATAGTGGTTGTTGTGGGTTTTTGGGCCCTTTGGCCATGTTCTGAAGGTTGTTCTTCCTAATGTTTCGACAGTCTCTGTGGCCAGCATCTTCAGAGGACAGCACTCTGTGCTCTGGTCT